GCCCATCATCCTTTCTGAAGAAATTGGTGCTGCCAGGAGCAAACGTATCTCACTGTCAATAAAAAGCCCAATGTTAACAAAACATTTTAAATGCCATATTCTGTAGGTCTTTGAAGTGTTTGAAGAGCATCTATCTATCTAAAATATATCTGTTTAACTTTGAAAACATTCCTAACATGACTACAGGTTTGATTATTATAGATGACTAACTATTAACTTGCATTTCTTAATTATGCATTGCATTTTTTTAAATGAGCTGCATAGGTACAATACCCCAAATAAGGGTTAAAACATAAATTCAGTATAACAAAAATAACTTTAAATTTGTATCAATATATCAAAGCCCATACCAATGTGTAGTTGGATGTTTTTACTCTTTACTCTTTGGGGGCCTGCCAAATAATCACACACGGAGGTTTATTTTTTCTTATAAATGCCTGGACTTAGCTTGGCTAGTTTCTAGCCAGCTTTTCTTAATTTATCCTATCTACCTTTTGCCTCTTGGCTTCTACCTTTCTTTATTTCCATATCTTTTCTTTCCTTCTTATTCCATACCTGGCTGTGTAGCTGGGTGGCTGGCCCCTTCTTTTCTTACTCTTTGATCTTGCTCCTCCTACATTTCTCCTCTTATCTATTCTCTCTGCCTGCCAGCCCCACCTATCCTTTTTCCTGCCTTGCTGTTGGCTGTTCAGCTCTTTATTAGACCAATCAGGTGTTTTAGACAGGCACAGTAACACAGCTTCATAGAGTTAAATAAATGCAACATAAAATAATGCAACACATCTTTGCATCATTAAATGAATGTTCTACATCATAAACAAATGTAACACATCTTAAATTAATATTCCACAACCTCAGTGTAAAACACTTGAGGTTAGTAGTTGTCCTTTTTATCCTATATTCTCTCTAAATAATGACAAACATCTATAGCCCACCAAATGACCAAAAGTCACTCACCCCACCTACTGGGAATGTGGGTGTTTTGTTGTCTAAATTGTTTCCTGCTGTCTGTGGGCCATGGCATCCTTAGGGAACCAGAGAAAATTGAGATAATGGTCAAGTCCTGAGAAAACTAGCCATAATATTTGTTGTTCAGTCTCTGTGTGACGGGAAAGTGTAAGGCTTATCTGCAGTCCTGGCTAGATAATAATCTGTTAGGCTGGACTGTCTCAGCCAGCAGTCTTGAAGCCGTTCTGGATGCAGAAACTCTGAGGAAACTGCAACAGATGCACTCTGAGAGGCTGGGTCACCTGGGCCACCTGTTTTCATTGGTGTCTGGTCCCCTTGGTCTGAAAATACACAAACTTTAAAAGGTAACATACATATCTGCATTAACACAAATATGGACTGTGCATTACACAGAAGCCAGGCAAAGATGATTTTTCTTTTGTTTTTTGTTGAGCAGGTAAAATATAGGTCACTTGTCTTATAGTTTTCCTAGTTATATTTTTTTAATGTCTATAGCCAGAATTTTCAGGGGGTCTCCCCCATCAAACCTGATTGCTATTAACCTTGAACGAATCCACAGCCTTTTGTTTCTTGTAGAAACAAAAATATAACCTCTTCCCCAATGCAATACATTTTTTGAGTTCCATTTTAAAGTTAAGGCATTCCTAAAGTATCTAGGCTGTGTTAACTCTGTAGGCTGGTTAATTCACCAGTCCCTCCTAAAATCTCATGTCTCTCAGCAGCTGTCATTTGCTTATTAGCATTCAAAAAATTCTAAGTTAACACAACATCATACAGGATCATGACTCTCTGTGTGTTTTTCACCTTTACGTGGCTTATCCTTTTCATATTACTTTACTTTCTTTAAAGACTTTATTATTTTTAAACTATTTAATTTTTTTCTATGACCGTCTATACCCTTTTTCTTAAGCTTATGCACATTTTTAAAACACACTGTAACCTGCATAGAGGTTTTCTCTGTCTGAACCTGTTTTCCTAAGTGCCTGCAGCTGTGCACTTGCAGTGTTCTCTGGTGTGTGAGCCAAACTTTAAATTGACAAGGGGAGGCTAGGCCCTGCACCAGTGGCTCTGGTGGCTGGTCCCGCCTCCTACTCGGGTCCATGTCAGACTGGCCCAGAGCCATGTTTTAACTGCGAACTGCATTCAATTGTCCCAGCTCTGGGATGCCAGTGCCCACACTGCAGCAGGCATTTTTACTTACCTTGCTGTTTCTACTTAGTGTACTGGCTTCTTTTTTTTTTTCTTCAGCTATCTCAGGGCTTGTGGAAATTCTTGCCCCATGTTGGAACACCAAATGTACTAGGCTTTCTTTTGGGCCACCAACCAGCTCCCAAATCATGACACAGAGACTTGTTAGTTATGAATGCTCAGCCTTAGCTTAGGCTCATTTCTTGCTAGCTCTTATAACTTAACCTGTTTCTCTACATCTATGTTTTACCTCAGGGATTTTTACCTTTCTTTCCTTCTGTATATTGTAGATAGACTTTTCTGTCCCATCAGCCCACTCCCCAATAACCACAAAGAGGCTTAATATTAATTAAAAATACTCAGCCGATAGCTTAGGCTTGTCTCTAGCCAGCTCTTACAACTTAAATGAACCCATTTCTATTAATCTATGTGCATCCCCAAGGCTAGTTTACCTCATCTATGAACTTCTCAAGTTGCTTTTTTTGCATTTGGCCTGAGACTCTTTAGACTCTGCCCTTCTTCTTCTTCTTAACATTCTTTCTGCCCTGAAAATTCTGCCCAGCTATCAACCAATCAGCTTTTTATTAATAATGAGAGCAACACATTTTCACGGTGTACAGAAGGATTATTCCACAGCAGTGTATCTTACTTTCACTGCTTCTTATGTCTATCTGTTTGGTGGCTGCCTGGCTTTTGGCCCTGATCATGTCCCTCTCTTTTCTCCCATTCTCTCCTCATTCTCCTTTCATTCTCTTCTCTTCTCCTACTTATTCTCTCTGCCCACCAGCCCCACCTACCCTCCTGCCTAGCTATTGGCCATTCAGCTATTTATTAGACCAATCAAGTGCCTTAGGCAGGCAAGGTGGAACAAATGCAATACATCTTTACATAATTAAATGCAGCATAAACAAATGTAACACATCTTTACATCATTAACAAAGGCAGCAGAAACAAATGTAACTAACATATCTTTACAGAGTAACAATAATATTCCATAACAGGTTCCTTCTTTCCAGCTATGTCTAGGTTTGTGTCAAATTGACAAAAACTAACCAACACATAGAGAAAACAAACAACACAATTAAAAATTTCAACATTGAACTAAGCAGAGTTTCAAAAGAAGAAATACTAATGGCTGAAAAATATTTTTTAGAATGTTCAAAATCCGTAGGGAATTTTAGGCAAATTAAACTAGTTTGTGGTTCCATTTTACCAAAGTCAGAATGGTTAAGATTAGGAATAAGGAATAAGAACAAATGCTACTGTGAACATGGGGAAAGTGGATACTTACTCATTGATTCTTAGAGTCCAAGCTGGTACAGCCACTATTGAAACCAGTGTGGAAATTATTCAATATGCTAGAAATAGTTCTACCATATGATCCAGCTATTCCACTCTTGGGCATATACTCAAAGGGCTCAAGTCCTGCTACAGAGATACTCGCTCATCAGTGTTCATTGCTGCTCTATTCACAATTGTCAGGAAATGGAGCTAGCCCAAATGTCCATCAACTGATGGATGGATAATGTAAATGTGATAAGTTTATGCAATGCAATATTATTCAGCTGTTATGAAAAATAATTTTTTCAGGTAAATTGCTGGAGCTTGAAATCATTCTGAGTGAGGTAACCTAGACCTAGAAAGACAAGCATTGCATGTTCTCTTTCACATGTGAATGCTGGCTTTGTATCTTTAGATATATGTTTAAATTGTAGTACCCGTAGTAGTTAATAAAATAGGAAGGGTCTACGGCATGATATTTCAATGGAAGGGAGAAAAAAATGCAGTTGATATAATGAGGGAAATGGGGCATAGTGGAATAGGAAAGGTTAAATGGGAAGGTGAGGGGGGGCAGGATAGAGGAGAAAGTATGGGGAGAGACGACACTAAAGACTTTTTTTAAAAAGCCATTTGGAAACCCATTACTTTGTAATCTTCCTAAAAACATACATACATGCATACATAAAGAGTTTAAATGGAGTTACCCTGTAATGGGGGTTGCAGACAACAGTGCCTCTCTCAGGCATCATAGGCTATTAAATAAAAAGCACAGTGCCACATACGGTTACTTCTTTAATAGGTGTTGATCAGTGGGGTGCCAAAGACCCCTAACAATTATAGGTTATTGCCATCACTCATACTTCAGTCATAGAATATGGAGAAATCAAGTTTATATCAACCTAGATGCTTTATCCCTAGTGGCTATCTTTCATTGTATTGTAAGTGATGTGCACACTACCAGGCAGGGGATGAGAGAAAGGCAATCATTAGTATTATCCAGCTGTGAACTGTTGCCAACACTGGCCTGGCAAGATATGCCCACTGGTGCAATAGAGGTATGCCCTCTGCTTGTATTTAGAGACAGGAAACAGAGCTGTTAGCAATTGAAGGCTGCTAGGAAATGGAGAGTCAAATTTTTGTTGTTTTGTTCAGGATGCAGCCTCAGAAGGCTACTCATGCTTTAGCAGATGGCCCTACACCTGTGCATGTACTGGAAGCATCAAGTGCACTCAGTGTGTTGAAAAAAAGAAATATGAATTTGAGAGGGGCTAGGGGAGCAACTGTTGTGGAGAGAATTGGAGTTGAATTGATTAAAACACATTAAATGCATGTTTGAAATTACCAAACAATGAAAGAAAGGCTTACTTGGAGGAAGTCATTGGACTTGAGTTTTTTTTTTTTTTTTTTTTTAAGAAATTCTACAGGAGGTAGAAATTGAGTTTTTGGATTTCCTTTTCTGTGCCCCAAACTTCTCTTCAGAGTTGCAGAAATTGAGTCATTAACTGTAAGAAACTCCTTCTTGATGATTTCATTGACCCTTATTCTCCATTTTTGTTTTCTAGAGATATGTTGTCCAGTACCAGACCCAAAGAATGTTAGAGTCATTCAACATACAAGAAAGTATCCTGAGAATGGCTGTACTTATTTCCATGATGACACAGTATCATACAAATGCCATGATGGTAGCACCTTTTTGTCTACTTGCAAATCAGATGGCACATGGTATCCCAGAACTCCATCATGTGATCAGAGTAAGAATGAATAGAACTGTTTTGGGGGACAATTTCTTTTTTTTTAATTTTTAAAAATGTATTTATTTTATGTGTATTGGTGTGTTACCTACATATGTGTCTGAGGGTGTCAGATCCCCTGGAACTGGGGTTACACACAGTGTGAGCTGCCATGTGAGTGCTGGGAATTGAATCTGGGTCCTCTGGAAGAGCAGCCAGTGACCTTAACCACTGAGCCACCTCTCCAGCCCCGGAGTTTCTTTATATTAATAGTGTGGAGATCATTAAAGGAAGTTTTATCAAGAGACCAAATGCAGGGAAAATGTAAGGTCAAAGCTGGCTTGGGCAGCATAGTGACAAGGATGAACTACATAGGAAATCCTGTTTTCTTTTTGTTTCATTGTTTCCTCCACTAAACTAGTGATTTTCTTCATCTCTAATGCAATTTTGTTTTGAAATCTACTTTATCAGATACCAGAATAGCTATTCTCCCTCATTTTTGGTTTCCACTTGCTGGATAAATCTTTTTTCAAACTTTGACTCTCAGTCATTGAATGTTTCTTGGAGACCACAGAAAGTTGCATCTCATTTTTGCAATCAATAGTCAGCCAGAGTCTGTCCTTCTCTGGATGATTTGAGAACATTTACGTGGAAGGTTATTATTAATGGACAATGACCAGTTCCTGTGATGTTGGTTGTTTCTCTGGTTGGTTGAGTTACTGTTTGTTCTTTGTGTTCTCCTCTATTTGTTTTAGGGGTTTGTTTACTCTGTTGGACATGACAGGTTCCTTCCTAGCTCTCCTGCATTCAGCCATTTCTCTCGTGGTGTTTATTGTTTTCTGTGCTCTTGTCATTGAAAATGTCTTCCTCCTCTGTATAGAGTTCCTTTTTGTGTCTTCTGTGGTAGTAGTGTGGTGGTATTAACTGCCTTAGTTTGTGCTTGACTTGGAATAGCCTTTGTTCTCTGTCAGTTTCAAAAGATAGCTGTTATGGTCAGTTTTAATTGTCAGCAAGAATCACCTGAGAGGAGACTCTCAGACTAGATTAGGTAGGCCTGTTGGTATATATGCCATGGGTGGTGGTGGGGACTATTTTAATCATGCTAATTGATATGAGAAGACCTACCTTGAGTATGGGTACCATTTCATAGGTTGGGCCCTGGACTGATGAAAAGGTGAGAATGATCTGAGTGTGCATGTGTGTTTTAATCCCCCCTCTGTTTCCTGACTATGGCTGTAATGTGGCTAGCAGCTTCAAGTTACTGCTGCTTACTTCTCCACAGTGATGGACCTGGAACTGTGAACAAAAATAATCCCACTGTGGTAGTTTGAATGTAATTGGCCCCATAATCTTACAGGGAGTGACACTATTAGGAGGTGTGGCTTTGTTGGAGTATGCATGGCCTTGTTGGAGGAAGTGTGTCATTGTGGGGGCAGGCTTTGAGGTTTCCTATGCTCAGGATACTGCCCAGGGTTTCAGTTCATCTCCTATTGCCTGCAAGATGTAAGACGCTCAGCTACTCCTCCAGCACCACATCTGCCTGCACGCTGCCATGCTCTCCATCATGCTGTTAAATGGACTGAACCTTTGCAACTGTAAGTGAGCCACCTCAATTACATGTTTTCTTTGTAAGAGTTGCCATGGTCGTGGTGTCTCTTCACAGCAATAAAAACCCTGAGACGTCCACCCTATGTTGCTTTTGTCAGGGTGTTTTATTGCAGGAGTAAGAGACTCAACAGAAATAATGGCTTTGCTGGTTATAATCATTAGGTACCGATTTCAGGGCTTGAAACATTCCATAGTTTCCCAACTTTTAGACTTGATGAGTGAAAAAAGACCTGATGTTTTTCTGATGCTTCTTTTGTTGTAGGTATGTTGGCATTGTTCCCTTCCAGCTTTTAATATTATCTCTTTGCTCTGTATATTTCATATCATGAGTATAGTATGTAATAGAAGGGGCCATATCTTATGTTTGAATCTCCGTTTCTTTCTAAATGCCTCTTATTTTAATGCTTTTTTCTTTCTCTAGATCTGAGACCTTTCTGCTTTAACTTCATTGAATAGATTCTCAATGCCTTCAGCATCTGTCTCCGTTCTTTCTCCTGGCCCGTGGATTCTTAGGTGTGTTCCCTCACTCACATCCCAGAGTTCTTGGATGCTATTGTCACAACCATTTCCTTTTCTTCTCATCTGTGTTCGTATGTGATAACCCTCAACCTTGTCTTCTCTCCCTGACATCCTGTCTTCTGCTTGTCAAGTGGGAGTTGGTGGTGCCTTCGTTGTGTTTTTCCTTTGATCCGTGGAGGTTTTCATTTATATTTCTGTGTTTTTCAAAAATCCCAGTTTATTTGCTGAATTTATTTCCATGTTGTTGGCTTTTTTATACTGCTGTTTTTTCTCATCCATTTTGCTGACTTTTTCCTCTATTTTGCCTCCAGAATGCTGAGATTAAAGGCGTGTGCCACTACTGCCTGGCTTAGACAGACCCTTAAATGGTTAACACTTTAACTATTGCTAGATGAGTACCTGAGAGAAACAGCTTAAAGAAGGGAAGATTTATTTTGGCCATGGCAATAGAAGCAGGTTACGCTTAGTTTGACTGGTGTACTAGCTGTAAGGCATTTTCTCAATTAGTGATCAATGCAGGAGGATCCAGTACATTGTGGGTGATGCCATCCTGGGCTGGTGGTCCTGGGTTCTATAAACATGCTGAGCAAGCCATGTGAAACAAACCAGTAAGCAGCACCCCTCTGTGGAATTCTACATCGGCTCCTGCCTTCAGTATCTGCCCTGCTTGAATTCCTGTCCTGACTTCCTTCAGTGATGAACAGCAATGTGGAAGTGTAAGCCAAATAAACCCTTTCCTCCCCAACTTGCTTTTTGGTCATGGCATTTCATCACAGCAATAGAAACCCTCACTAAGACAGCTGGTTCAATTCTTTTGAGTCTATGATGAAGTTGCAATGGAATATCATGGTGGGGAAGAGCTGAACACTTCACAGTGGCCAGAAAGCAGAGAGATATTGGAAGGAAGGGGAATAGAACAAGATACATACTTCAAAGACATGTCCACAGTGTCCCACCTCCGACAACTAGGCCCTAGTTTCTAACCTTTCCATTACTTCACCCAAATGCCATCAAATTAGGAATCTATAAATGGAATTAATCTCTTGAAGAAGTCAGAACCCTCATGATCCAATTGCTTCCTTAAAGCCCCATTTGAACACCGTTGTATTGGGAGCTAGAACTTCAAATCCAGCACCTTTTTTGAGGGAGATACTTGATGTTCAAACTGCAGCATGTGACTCATACGCCAAATCAACCAGGAACATGACCTCAACTGTTCAAACAAAGGAGATACCTTTAGAAAATGGAGGCAGAGATGCCAGGCTTTATTCTGCTTTAGAATAAAAGGCATCTACCAAGCATCTTTGGGCTCAAGTGAAGAGTCTGTTTACCATAAGTGGGAGGTCTATGTGGGGTGTAAAGCTAGTGGATCATAGGGGTTATTTTAGAGAATTTAGTGTATAGGCACATTGCAGCAGCAACAGCCTCCATTTCTGTTGATATTTTCTTGGGCTGGTGCAAGGACGGTATCTTCCTCAAGGGAAATTTCATGGCTTGCTATAGGTGGGAAAGTGGCAGTTTAGATAGTCCTCTCTGCAGCTAGTTTCTCAAGTTGCCTTCGTCTCTAAATGATCAATGCAGCAATCATATTTTGGGGTTGCGTGTCCTTAGTCCTCTCATCCTCTAATTGTTTAACCAGTCTACTCTGTAGTCCTTAAAGGAAGTACTTAAGATTGAGGTTGAGCAGTCAAGAAAGGCAAACTCATTCCTGCAATATTTACCTATCAAAACAAATCACAGTCTTCCAGGGTAGAAGGAGTCTGATAAAGATAATTGCTACTGTGGCTTTTTGATTACTTCCAGCCACAGTGTCATTATCAAAGACGTCATTGATGGAATGTTGGAAAGTCCATAATGATGATTGGTCTTGGTGAATGGGAGTCCATGTTGTTGGCCCCTGCGTGTCTTCCACTCAACCACCATGAAGTGCTTCTCCTATCCCCTGATTCTACTTGTTTGATTGCATGAGTTAAAAAAGACAATGACAGGGGATATCCAACTTTAACTGGTAGATATCTACTCGGTCCTTTAACACCTCTTAATAGGGGATGCGCTGCCGTTAACACACACAACGAAAACCTTCAACCTTCCTGCCCACTCTGTGTGTCGACTGCTTCCCTGCTAGGATTCCAGTATTTCAGTATTGTGCCCAGTATTCCCATCTTTCTCCTTACAGATATCTGGCCAGATAAACCCTTCACTCTATCTCAATAATCCGAATGTAGTCACTTCTTGGGCCACTTCTTTTCAGGCATGCTACCTACAGCTTGGCCTATCAGGAAGGCTCCCCTTTGAGAGGACCCTGACAGGGTTTAATGGAACCCCCATTCATTTCAACTTGTACACACAGAGCAAAACGTCCATCCATGAATCATGCTGAGACCTTTCCCCATCCTGCCCGTGAGCTAGAGTGGAGAATCCTGTAGCCAGAAGTGTGAGCTAAGGCACCCATGCAGCAGTAGGGACTGAGATTTCTGGGGTGCATTTTCAGAAATGTCGTCAGACTCTTCCAGTGTCTGATCCCGAATGTTTCATTTCCATTTTATAATGGATACTTGTCCGGCTTTATAACTTGATACATTTGACAGATCTCACTCGTGACAAATGATTCTGGCTGTATGGTCAGTTGACCCAAGGTTGGGAGCCTTGTCTAAGGACTAAGTAAAATGGTAAAATGCCAGGGTTTGTGTTTCAATCAGCATGTAATTCTCATCTGCAGTGCACATCTTTCCTTCAGGACCTCTGTAGCCTATGATGTGCATTTCCCACCAACATTTGAAGATTTCCCTATTATAGCCAGCTTCAACACACAAAGCCCAATCCTATAGACTAGCATCAGCATGATTTCACTATAGACTCACCCAGATCTGCTAAACATTCCTTTCCAAACAGAAGCACCACTCAAACCTGGCAGTCTCACGTGTCACCTAGTATAGGGCTTAGAGCAATATTCCCAAGTGAAGATTATACTGCCTCTAGAGTCTGGAAAGGACTGCTTGGTGCCTTCCTTATAGTAGGATGTGCAAGTGGCAAGTTATGTGACTTTGGCTTCAATGGATACCTAATAGTTACTAAACCTTGAAAGTAAAAAAATTGTCAGTGTGGCAAGTCCTGGAATGTTCATATTCTGTACATTGGAGTACCATCATGCTAGCCATTTCATGTTTATCACTAGAATTAGCATGATGCCATTAATATATTAGATCAATGTAATGTACTATGGATATCTGGATTGTCAAGATATCTTTATACCTTCAAATGCTGCGACCCCTTAATACAGTTCCTCATGTTATGGTGACCCCCAACCATAAAACTATTCCCACTGCTACTTCATAACTGTAATTTTTCTACTGTTATGAATTGTAATGTAAATATCTGACGTGCAGATGATATTAGGTGACCCCCATGAGGAGAACTGCTGCTTGACTGTAGGAACGCAGGAGAGTTATCCCAGCCCGAGACCCAAGCTGGAAGCATATGCTCTTGACGTTTCCAATCGTGTCAATGCTGTTCCTAGCCTCTTTTCTGATACGGATGGAGAAAAACAGGCCTTTGCTAAATCAGTGACTTCATTTACTCAAAACTGAATTATTCTTTTATAGTAAGTTTATCGCATAGGGTTCAGCTGTTGTTAAGAGAAGACTGAAGTCTCCAAAATCCTAACTTTGGAGTGAAGAAGCCAGGGAATTTAATAGAAATATGAAAATGGCCATTTCAACATATTTAGTTATATAAGCGTCTTACTGTCTTAGTTGGGGTGTCTATTGCTGTGAAGAGACACCATGACCAAGGCAACTCTTATAAAAGGAAACAGTTAATTGAGGGCCTGCTTACAGTGTCAGAGGTTGAATCCATTGCTTTAGACTTGTGTAAAGGTGATGCATCATGGCAAGAGTGTAAGTTGGAGCGAAATTATTTTCCCAGTCATGAGGCAGAGAGGAAAGGAAGAGACGAGAGGGCTGGAAACACACAGTCTCCATAACCAGAAAGCCTCTAGTGACCTAAGAACCTCCCATGAGGCCCCACCTAGTAAAGTTTCCAACACCTTCCGATAGTGTCATCTGGGAGCTAAGCCTTTAACTTATTCACCATCCAACTTATACCAGTGGATAGTTTGAGACTTCCAAGTTCCTGAACCTGAGGCTTCCAAGGTCATTCAAGTGAATGGCTTTGGTCCAGGGATCTTCCAGGCAGGGAGGAAAGAAAGACAGAATGAATCAGCCAGGATGCACAACTCCTGGGAAGTGCTGTTTGACATATTTTACAGGCTCACCTTCTCTCCTGTGTTTTATCATACAGGTTGTAAATTTCCTCCAGACATTGCCCATGGACATTATACCACCACATCTCGTAACTTCATCACAACTGTGGCAACATATCAGTGTGATAAAGGATACAGACTGGTTGGAGAGGCAAATATCTCCTGCCTGTTTTCACAATGGAGCTCAGCAGCTCCACAGTGTAAAGGTAACTTCCACCCGCTTCCCACTCCATGGCCACATGGGTAGAATTGTTGTCAGGAATGGAGAGCAAAATTATTCCCTGACAGATGAAGGACAAAACATTTGATTATTTTTTTTCTTGTAATTATATGATTTCTCTTTTCTTTCTTTTTCTATTTTTTGTTTTTAATACATTCCAACCTCAGTTTTCCCTTCTTCCATCCCTCCTACCCCCAATCCTACCTCCCCTACCCTCCAGATTCCTCTTCCATTTTCCTTCAAAAATGAACAGGCCTCCCAGGAATGTCCATTAAATTTGGCATAACAAGATTGGATAAGACTAGGCACAAATTCTCATATCAGTGTTGGGTGAAGCAACTCAGTAAGAGGAAATGGATCTCATGAGCAGACAAAAGAGACAGAGAGACCCCTCCTCCCACTGTTAGGAGCCCCACAAAAATATCAAGCTACAACCATAACATATATGCAGAGTTCTTAGTGCAGACCCATGCAGGCTCCATGATTGTCACTTCAGTCTCTGTGAGCCCCTATGAGTCTTGCTAAGTTGATATCTGTCAGCCATTTCTCCTGGTGTCCTTGACCCCTCTGGCTCCTACATTTCTTTCTCCTCCTCTTCCATAGGGTTCCTGGAGCTACAAGGGGAGGAACCTGATGGAGATCTTCAATTTTGGCTCTCTACCTAATGTTTGGCTGTAGGTCTCTGTATCTGCTCCCATCATCTGCCAATAGGAGCCTCTTTGATGACTCAATTGGGTCAGGCACCAATTTATGAGCATATAAGAATATGTTTGGGAATCATTTTATTGATTTTTTTCTATCTATCTAGCCTGGGCTATCTAGCCTCTATTCCTGCTCATCCAGGCAGTGTCAGGCATAGGCTCCCTCTTGTGGCATGGAACTCAAGTTAGACCAGTCATTAGTTGGCTACTCCCACAAGTTCTGTGCCTCCATTGCCCCAGTACAACTTGAAGGCAAGATAGAGTATAGGTTGAAGGTCTTATGGCTGGGTTGGTGTCCCCATCCCACCTCTGGAAGCCTTGCTTTGTTATAGAGGATGGCTGGTTCAGGTTCTGATTCCTCCATTACTAGGAGTCCTCATTAGGGCCACCCTCGTAGACTCCTGAGTTTCTGCTGGACTAGGTTTCCACATCACCTGCCCCCCAAATGTCCTCCAATTCCAGTCATCTCTTCTAGTGCCTCTCTCCCTTCACCCCCTCTCCCTGCCTGATCCCTCCTTGTTCCCATCCCCACCTGCTCCTAGTCCACCCACAAAATCTATTCTATTTCCCCTTCCCAAGGAGACCCATGCATCTCCCTTATGGATACTATCACATCATCTGCAAGTAGCGACATTTGACTTCTTTCTTTCCAATTTGTGTCCTCTTGATCCCCTGTAGTTCTCTTATTGCTCTAGCTAGAACTTCAAATACTATATTCAATAGATATGGAGAGAGTGGACAACTTTATCTTGTTCCTGATTTTAGTGGAATTGCTTTGAGTTTCTCTTCATTTAATTTGATGTTGGCTATAGGCTTGTTGAAAAATACCTTTGTTATGTTGGGGTATATCCTTTGTATCCCTATTCTTTACAAGACTTTTTTTTTTCATTTTTCTTTATTAAGAAATTTTCTACTCACTCCACATACCACCCACAGATTTTCCCTCTTCCTCCCACTCTCCAGCCCTCTCTCCCAAGCCACCCTGCAGTCCCACATCCCCCAAATCAAGGTCTCCCATGGGGAGTCAGCAGAGCCCACACACTGAGCCTAGGCAGGTCCAAGCCCCTTCCCACTGCACCAAGGCTGTGCAAGGCGTCACACCACAGGCACCAGATTCCCAGAAGCCTGCCCATGCACCAGGGACAGATTCTGATCCCCCTGCCTGGGTGCCCCCCAAGCAGTTTGAGCCAAACAACCGTCTTCCGTATCCAGAGGGCCTAGTCCAGTTCCATGGGGGCTCCACAGCCACCAGTCCACAGTTCATGGGCTTCCATTAGTGTGGACGGTCATCTCTCTTTACAAGAGTTTTATCATGGAGGGGTGTTGAATTTTGCCAAAGGCTTTTTCACCTTATAATGAGATGATCATGTGCTTTTCTTTCCTTCAATTTGTTTATATGGTGGATTACATTGACAGATTTTCATATGTTGAACCATCCCTACATCTCTGGGAGGAAGCCTATGTGGTCACAGTGGATGATCTTTTTGGTGTGTTCTTGGATTCAGTTTGCCTGTATTTTATTGAGTATTTCTACATCTATGTTCATAGAGAAATTGACCCATAATTCTCTTTCTTTGTTGCTCTTTTTGTGTAGTTTGGGTATCAGGATGACTATGGTTTCATAGAATGAATTTTTGCAATGTTCCTTCTGTTTCTATTTTGTGGAATAATTTGAAGAGTATTGATGTTAGCTCTTCTTTGAAAGTCTGGTATAATTCTGCACAGAAACTATCTGGTCCCTGTTTTTTTGTTTATTTATTTATTTATTTAGTTTGGGAGACTTTTAATGACTGCTTCTATTTCCTTAGGTCTATTTAAATTGTTTCTGTGATCTTGATTTAACTTTGTTAAGTAGTATCTATTGAGAAAATTGTCCATTTCTTTTAGATTTATCAGTTTTGTGGAGTATAGGTTTTTAAAGTATGACCTAATGATTCTTTGGATTTCCTTGGTATCTGTTGTTATGACCCCCTTTTTGTTTCTGGTTTTGTTAATTTGGATATTATTTCTCTATCTTTTAGTTAGTTTGGATAAGGGTTTGTCTATCTTGTTAATTTTCCCAAAGAAGCAAATCTTTGTTTCATTGATTCTTTGTATTGCTCTTTGTTTCTATTTTGTTGATTTCAGCCCTCAGTTTGATTATTTCCTGCCATCTACTCCTCTTAGGTGCATTTGCTTCTTTTTGTTATAGTTTTCAGTGTGTTGTATGAGATCTCCCCAATTTCTTTATGCAGGCACTTAGTGCTATGAACTTTCCTTTTAGAACAGCTCTCACTGTGTCCCATAAGATTGGGTATGTTGTATATTCATTTTCACTGAATTCTAGAAACTCTTTAATTTTTTTTTTATTTCTGCCTTGACCCAGTAGTCATTGAGTAGAGTTGTTCAGTTTCCATGAGTTTGTAGGCTTTCTGTTGTTTATCTTGTTATTGAAATCCAGCTTTAATATGTGGTTGTCTAATATGACCCAGGGGGTTATTTTAATTTTCTTGTATCTGTTTCAATTGTTTTGTGGCACAGTATGTGGTCAGTTTTGGAGAAAGTTCTATGAAGTGCTGAGAAGAAGGTATGTTCTTTCATGTTTGGGTAAAATGTTCTGTAGATATCTGTTAGGTCCATTTTGTTTATAACATCTGTTTACTCCAGTATTTTTCTGTTTATTTTATGTCTGGGTGACCTATCTGTTGGTGAGAGTGGGGTATTGAACTCTCTCACTATCAATGTGTGGAGGTTAGTGTGTGATTTAAGCTTTAGTAATGTTTCTTTTACAAAAGTGGGTTCCCTTGCATTTAGGGCATAGATATTAAGAATTGAAATACCATCTTGGTGAACTTTTCCTTTGATAAGTCCTTCCCTATCCTTCTTGATTAATTTTGGTTTGAAGTCTATTTTGTTAGATATTAGAAGGGCTACACCAGCTTGTTTCTTAGGCCCATTTGCTTGAAAAATCGTTTTCCAACCCTTTACTCTGAGGTAATGTCTATCTTTGATGTTGAGGTGTGTTTTTTGTATATATAGAAGGATGGATCCTGTTTGCACATCCACTCTATTAGTCTGTGTCTTTTTTTTAACTAATAAAAAAATTGTATTTACTTAGAAGCACTCAGAATGTCAACAAAACAGTTGCAATTTTTTTTTCAATTACAGAGTGGTATTCAGTTAACAGAACAACAATTATCTTCATAATAAGCTGCATCAGAGACAACTGAAGATGAAAAAAAAAAAACAAAAACAAAAAAATAAAAACAAAAAAACCTACCGTCCCCATATATAACTAATTTGTGCTGTGCACCAACAAGAACCTGCTTTAAATTTCCATGTCTATTTACAACCCCCAGACTGTACCAGGCAAGGTTAGTGGCTATTGAGAATACCACCAGGACAGGGCTATTTAAAGACACATTCGGTAGTGTGTTAACTATACAAAAAAAGACACTGTACAGTTTAAAAACAAATCTTACACAGCCTTACATTTCAATTTTTTTTCTTTAAAAGGAGTGAGTTGTGTACAGGGTGGTTAAATGCTTTATAGACAAGAAAAAAAAACTGCGCTAGAACCAACTTATTCATCATCACCTTCTTCATCTTCGTCTTCGTCTTCCTCTTCATCCTCCTCCTCATCTTCCTCTTCCTTCTTTTTCTTGGTCTTTTCAGTCTTGACGACCCCCTTCTTTGCTGCATTAGGTTTTCCTTTAGCTCTGTAGGCAGCAATATCCTTCTCATGCTTCTCCTTCACCCAGCCTTCTTCTTGTAGGGCTGCTTGTCGTCCGCAGCGGTGTTGTTCCACATCTCCCCCAGCTTCTTCGCCACGTCCCTGATGGACAAGCCGGGGTGCTCTCTGATTTTGGGGTGATACTCAGAACAGAACAAGAAGAAGGCCGAAGGGGGCCTCTTGGGTGCATTGGGGTCCTTGAACTTATTTTTGGTCTCCCCTTTTTGGGGGATAGTGTAGGTTTTCATTTCTCTCTCATAACGAGCCTTGTCAGCCTTTGCCATGTCTTCCAATTTCCCCTTTTCTTTAGCAGACATGGTCTTCTGCCATACTGAGCACTTCTTCAAGAACTCTGAGAAGTTGACAGAAGCATCCGGGTGCTTCTTCTTGTGTTCCTCCCGGCAAGTTTGCACAAAGAATGCATATAAGGACATTTTGCCTCTTGGCTTCTTAGGATCTCCTTTGCCCATGTTTAGTTGATTTTCCTCCGCGAGGCACAGAGTCGCCCAGTGCCCGTCTGGCTCGCGCTTGCCCCGACGCTGTCTGTGTCTTTTAATTGGGGGAATTTAACCCATTAATATCAAAAGATATCAATGACCAATGATTGTTAATTCCTGTAATTCCTGGGGTGTTTTTTGCTGTTTTTGATGATGGTATACAAGTGAGTGAGTGAGTGAGTGAGTGAGTGTGTGTGTGTGTGTGTGTGTATGCTTCTCTCTCTCTCTCTCTCTCTCTCTCTCTTTTGCTGGTGTGAGATTATTTCCCATGGCTTTCAGTGTGTAGTTATCCTCCTCAGGTTGGAGTTTTCCTTCTAGTACCCTCTGTAGGGCTGGATTTGTGGATAGATATTGTTGAAATTTGACTTTATCATGGAATATCTTGTTTTCTCTATATATGGTGATTGAAAGTTTTTGCTGGGTGTAATAATCTGGGCTTGCATCTGTTTTCTCTTAGAGTCTGCAGGACAGCTGTCCAGGTCCTTCTGGCTTTTAGAGTCTCCATTGAGAAATCAGGTGTAATTCTAATAGGTCTACCTTTATATATTACTTGCTCTTTTTCTCTTGCAGCTTTTAGTATTCTTTCTTTGTTCTATATATTTAGTATTTTATTATGTGGTGAGAGGATTTCCTTTTCTAGTCTAATCTATTTGGTGTTCTTTAAGCTTCTTGTACCTATATATATTTCTTAAAGTTAGGAAATTTTTCTTCTATGATTTTGTTGAAAGTATTTTCTGAGCCTTTGAACTGGGATTCTTCTCCTTCTTGTATTCCTATTATTCTTAGGCTTGGTCTTTACATAGTGTCTCAGATTTCCCAGTGTTTTGTGTCAGGAACTTTTTAGATTTAACGTTTTCTTTGACCGATGTATCTATTTCTTCTATATATTATATTCTATGCCTGGGATTCTCTCTTCCATGTCTTATAGTCTGTTGGTGATGCTTGCATCCGTGGTGGTTCCTGTTCACTTACCTAGATTTTTCATTTCCAGAATTCCCTCATTTTGTATTTTCTTTATTGCTTCCATTTCCATTTTCAGGTCTTGAACAGTTTTATTCATTTCCTTGAACTGTTTGTTTGTTTTCCCTGGCTTTCTTTAAGGGATTTATTCATTTCCTTTTTAAGGACCTCAATCATCTTCATAAAGTTTGTTTTCAGGTCCTTTTCCCTGTGCTTGAGCTGTGTTGGAGTATTTAGGGCTTGCTGTAATAGGATAGCTGGGCTCTGGTCATGACATACTGCTTGGCTGTTATTGATTGTGTTCTGACATCTAGGCATCTGGGGTTGGGGTGATTGTAGGTCAAGGTGACAATTTCTGAGTTAGTCCTTGTTGGATGGATGTTGTTCCTTGGTTTCTATTTCTTCTCTTGTCTTCTGGTAAATGTGGCCTGTGGCTGAGCAGGGGCTGGAGTGGAGGCTGGACTTCTGGCAGCAACTGTGGTCTCTGGTAGAGCAGGAAGTCTCTTCCCCAGTTGGGGGATGGAACACAGTGATTAGAAAGGCTCATGATTGGGGACAGAGTGGGGAGACACCAAGAGGGTGAGAGAGTAGGGGAGTTTGGTTGGCTGGCAGCTTACCTGGACTTCTTGCTTCAGTCTGTACAGTATCTGGTAGAGAGGGGAGTCTTTGCCCCGATTGGAGGCTGTGGCATGGCAGCTAGGAGGATGCTGGACTGGGGATAGGGTGGAAGGATGCTGAGATAGTGAGGGAGTTTGGAGGAGGGCAGCCTACCCAGACGTCTTGCAGTCAGCATGGTCTCTGGTAGAGTCAGTTTTGCTTATTTTAAATAACTAATATAAACGGATGATATTCCATACAAAACCACAGAAAAACGTGCACAATATTACTTCCTTCTACTTCAGCCTTCTTGAGGCAGCTCATATTCTCAGTTTCTTATATATGTTTTAAGAAATATTATAGAAGCAAAACATGTTATAATTACACCTGTGGGCCTGTAAAAAGTTCAACAGAACTTGTTGTGGTATCAGCACAGTCTCTGTTGGGCTAATTTCAAACAGAGTGACAGGTTTTACCCTCAGAACTTTTGCAAGGCTCCACCTACCATGGTGTAGATGTGGTGTGTTGAGAAAGCATAGTGCCAATTGGTTATAGGGAGCAGGAGGAGTCAGGATTAGGTCTTAGGTTACGTTCATGTAATATTAGTATAACTATATTCATGGTAATTTGTGATTTATTTGGCATAATTGTCCCCTCTGCTCACAGAAGATCAAAACTTCATGATTAGAGTCTTGCACAACTATTTACAGTAAGAGTTAATGTGTCAAGAGAGAATCTGGTGTCATATACACTGTTACAACTATCCTGTCATGTTATTTAAACATTATAGCCATGAAAAAAGTTCTTACCTTCTTTGTATCTGAGTTTTCTTCTTCACAAAATGGGAAAATAATAGACTCACTTAGCAGGAGAATCATGAGACTTGAGTCAAAGTCGTATAGTATACATAGACTGTTATGCTCAAGAAAAATGCTCATCAATATTTTGCTAACAAAATGAATGGAAAGCAGAATAAACTACACACAAGATCAGTTGTTTCTCTTTACTACAGACTATTACGTTTTTCTCCTCAGACACAATTATCTAAAACATGTTTTCATTATAGCTCTGTGCCAGAAACCAGAGATAAGGAATGGATTGCTGTCTGCCAACAAAGATCAATATGTTGAATCTGAAAATATCACCGTCCAGTGTCACTTTGGCTTTGCCATGCTAGGTTCCCAAAGTATCACTTGTTCAGAGAATGGAACCTGGTACCCAGAGCTGCCCAAATGTGAGCAGGTAAGTGGCACAAATCAAGAAGTTCTGTGCCATCAAACACCAAGATGGCTTCCCAGCCAATAGTGCTGACCTATGACTTGTGAATCATTTCTAAGTCATTCAGAGAACCTGTGTTTTCCTCAAAGTCATTTGGTAAATTGGCACAGTACATTTTCCTATTTTCCTTTGAGGACATGAACTACTGAATCCTGTCAAGAGTGAAGTTCCATAGACCTAGGAGTACCGCCTCCTATTTTTTTTTTTTTAAGACCGTGTAAGGTAATGCTGCTCTATTTCTTAACGATCATCTGGAGTCACTCACTGCTGCCCCAAACCTCCATCTCTTTCAGGAGGCCTCCAAAGACTGTGAGCATGTGTACACAGGCAAGAAGTTGATGCAATGTCTGCCAAATCCCAATGATGTGAAAATGGCGCTGGAGATTTACAAGCTGTCTCGGGAGATTGAGCTATTAGAGCTACAGATTAGCAAGGAAACACAAACTACCCTGGAGTGATGACTGGAAGCTCCTCAAGAAGGAGGAAGAAGCATGGCATTGTCTTTCTGACGTCGGTGCCAAAACAGGTCGCCTGCACTTAGCACCTCTGGTCGCTTTGGCACTAATGTTCATGATAATAAATATCTGGTTAGGATAATTCATTAAAGCATAATGTTTTAAGTTCATGAAATAATTAATCATCTTGTGGCTCGTAAATTTGCTTTTTCTGAATACAACGTGCACATATTTTCAATTCAAAATCAATTTTGCTCTTGTATTCATTTACTACTGTATAAAACTAACCCATTTATTTAAAAATATGAGGTACGAAATTCATTTTAGTGCACTCACACTATTGTGTCTGTGGACTGCCTCATCTCACAGTCTTACGTGTGCACATCAGCCAGCCCCTTAGTGTTCCTAGTAACTGCCAACATCCCCTATTCCACCCCCTACAACCAGCCCGGTCCAGGCTACCCACTGAAGGCTACCCAGTCTCCTCTGAACTGTGAAAAGCCCCTCTTTCATTCAGGCCGCATGTTAGCCACCATCCCCCCTTGAAGGGAACTCACATAGATTCTCTCAGACCTTACTGTAGCCCCAGAGAAGGAAGTTCCAAGGATTGATGACTATGAAGACCACATCAGCCATCTTCACATTCTCAAGTCTTTTGTCTGATTTGATCACCGTTTTCATTGATATTGAATGAACATGGCTGGAGCCTCTTCCCTAACACCGGAAGAGAAACCCATTGTATCTGAGTTCTCTGGGGGCACCACATATTCCAGGCACCAACTCCTGCTCCCTCTAAGCCTTTCTCATTCTTGTCTCCGTGCCTCATGTCTCTTCCTATGGGACTCTGTGGGTAACTTTAGTGTTTTCGTTGACTTTCCCCAAACATTCCACAGGAGGCCAAGGTACATAGCACGTTTTCACTGGGCCTTAGATGAGACAGATGTGCCCGAATGGCTAGATAGGCACATGTGATGTGGAAAGCTCCCATCTGCCATCATCAAAGCCATTACCCAATACTAAGAGGTGACTTGAAATTCTTTCTTGGATGACTGTTTCTGTTCATCCTCAGATACAAGCATGTGTGGCAGCTGATTTACTTAGAAGGTGGTTCTGGTGAGCACTAAGAGGGGATGCTGGCAAGACAAGAAAAGAAAAGAGAGCACAAGAAGGACCGCTTTAAAGGGTGTTGTTGCTGTGGCTCCCAGGGGCTCAGTCAGGCTGATAGCTTTCTGTGGACCTACGGAATGTGACTCTGAGCTAGCCTCCTCCTGGTGAGGACCTGGGGTGTACATCCACTTGCTCACTCCAGCAGCATTGACTTCTAGAGGCAGCAAAGCATACTGCAAGGAAAGGGACCACTCTCAAGGAGGTGTTTTTAGTGGACTTCAGGGTAGACCAAGGATGTAGGAGCAGGTTTCACCTAGTCTAGTCACCTATCAGCTGGCACGTTGTAGTTAACCACTCTCTATGCATCTGCCATCAGTCCTGTCTAGTCCTGTCTGGTCCCTGGGTTGTTCTGCCTTCTATTGCTGCTGATGCAATTCCCACCCAGTTTTGAGAGTGGGATGCCTCTCCCTACAGACTGACATATACTGATTCCACCTGTTACATTCTCACAAATCAGACATTTGCTGAAGCCCCCTGAAAAACTACTTAGTTAACACTTACTAATTATTCGACAACCCATCTGAACACATTTGATTCCCACTTGGTTCTCGGTGTGGCGGTGCATCATAAGCTCCATGGGTGTCCCCGGCATTCTCAGAATAGCATTCCTTCTCCTGATTCCACTGTTTAGATGCCTTAGGAAGGACAATGTTCGTCTCGTCTTCATTGCTTACAACAACTATGAACTCAGAGAATGAAAACGAGTATTAGGAAAGTGCTTTAAACCAATCCTGCCCGTAGAATGTACAAGAGAAGGAAGGAACATTCAACCATTTGCTCACTCATGTGATGTGAGTGAGGGTAGTGGAGGAGGTGATACTTCATAGCAAAATAGTAAATAAAGTCTAGAAAAACTATTACGATTGACTCATCAGGAGGTCTGCAGGTATATCACATTAAAAACGCTTACATCACAGGTCTCTGTTAGGGCTGTGCAATTTTAAACAAAGGAAATCCAAGCAGATTTTACCTTGGCAGCCTCCAGCAGCATCTCTCTTCAGCTGCTTCCAGTGTCTTGGGGGAGAGGAGTGCACACGGGCCAGGGCTGTGGAGCCAAATATTAATAACTATATGGAAGGGTTCCCCCCCACGCCTGCTTTTGCTAATTCTTTTTCCATATTTTGCCATCAGCATTTGAGACCACATCTCCCTCCTCTTGGCACCAAATGTCACCACAAAATATCTTCATTCATTAGATAATTATTTTAAAAACATGAGTTTTTTTTTTAGTTTATTAGGTGCTAGTTGAATAATAATATTTTAAAATTTTATTGTCACTTACTACTTGTGTTACATTTTATTACATATATTCAATAGTCCAGAGTAGATTATGATTATAATTAGTTTGTGTACTATACATACTACACTTAAATTATTAGTAAGTTTCTAGAATATTGGGAAGCTGATTGACATATTAAATGTACTATATGTATAAATCCTTACTGGTTATTTGTAGCTTAATAAAGTGGTTGGAAAAGGGGGATTAAATTGGAAATAGTATTTTTTCACTCCCAAAATTAATTCCATAATTTTATAAGTGAAATTAAAATGGCCCTCTCTGAAAAACCACCTCCCACCCCGTCTTACTGCTGTCTTAGAATAGACACTGAGCACACTTCTGCCTTCCTGTTAGGAATGTGCTCAAAGCGTCATGTGCCACCAGCCATAGCCTTTAAGGCAGAGAAGGAATATGTGAGGCCTTTGCTTCCTGCTTTCTTCTTTCCTCACAACCTTCACGGATACACATGTTCACTGCAGAATTGTTTTTACACTCCTGCGATTAGCCTTCCATTTAAAGATGTATTCTTTTATTTAAACGACTCAGAAATGATCTAAAATAAATATGGCATATCTAAAATATTTTTTCTTTCCTTGCATTTTAAATGTAAACTTTGTATTTACATTTTCACTTCTGTAAGCAATTCAATAAATTATACACCAGAATACAAACACACCTATTTCTTGACTTTACAGGTAAATATTTTAAAATAAACTATATCCATGTTTAAATAAATCTTTCCTGTCTGGATCCACTAAAAATTTCCATTTTCTTGCTCCCACAGGACAAGTTTCAGCTCTTATTACATTTCCTCTGGATTTATATTCATGTTTTCAGAAAACATATTTTTTTCTCTTTTCTTTTTTCTTTTTGTCTCTTCAAGCAAGTAAAAATGGGACCTGCAATGGTTACATGTTCTTTTCGGTAGGTAAAAAGAAACATAGTTTTGAATGGAAATGTATTTGCTCCTAGTAAAATAGAAAAAATTAATTTCAGGGTTAAAACATCATGGTCTATTTTGTAAGAAGCAGGAAAAAACGTATGGGGAATGTCAGTAGCAGACATCCAAAAATTTAGCCTTCAAATGTATACATCAACAGTCTACATGTACTGTTGACTTATTGAAACAGACTTAAAATCTATGCTTTCTGCAAGGAGTGAGGCAACCAGAGCTATCCAAGCACGGCCACATACACCCTGTTTGAAATAAAAGATCCTGGAAGACAAAGAAAATTGAGTGAGTGGATAGCATCCTCGTGACAGACTCCTTAACTGTGGTATAAGAAAGTGGCACGTTTACAAACTATTCAGGCCTTGAAGACTGAGTAGATGCATTTGATCAGAGGGTGCACCCTTGGAATCTGTGTTTTTAATAAACACAAAGTGTTTTTTGTCTCATTTAAGGTGGTCTTCTTGTCCTCTGATTGGTTGATGCAGGGATGCAAGTGTTCAGTTTAATCAACTAGGGACACCTTATAGGGACAGTTTAAAACAGTGGTTCTCAACCTTCCTGATGCTGCAACCCTTTAATACAGTTCATCATGCCGTGGTGACCCCCAACCATAACATTATTGTAGATGGAAGTTTCTGTCCCGCCTGGTCCCGCAGTTGTTCAGTCCCAAATAAACACACAGAGGCTTATATTAATTATAAACTGTTTGGCCTTTGGCTCAGGCTTATCATTAACTAGCTCTTACAACTTAATTCAACTCATTTCTATTAATCTATGTTTTGCCACATGTTCTGTAGTTTTACCTGTATCTCATTACATCTTGCTTCCCGGGTAGTGGCTCACAGTGTCTCCTCTGACTCTGCCTTCTTCTCCCTGACTCTCTCCTTGAATTCCCCAACTGGCTCTATTCTGCCTTGACACAGGCCATAGCAGCTTCTTTATTAACCAGTGGTAGCAACACATATTCCCAGCGTACAGAAAGACCATCCCATAGCACATTATTTTCATTGCTACTTCATAACTGTAATTTTACTACTGTTATGAATCTCAATGTAAATGTCTGTGTTTTGTGATGGTCTTAGGCAACCCCTGGTGGCCTAAGGGGCAAACCATTTGACCTATAAGGGGGTCATGACCCACAAGGTGAGAAACCAACGTTTAGAGTATCTGGAGTGCTTGATTTCCAGATCAGTTTATTTCTGCTCAGCCCTGGTCCTCCCATATGGATACTGTTCCTCATGGCAGCCTCAGATAAGCAAGTCACAGGCAAACCTCCATCTCAGAGCTATTGTCCAGGGAACCCAACTCATGCAATATTTCCTGGAAATGAGCATTTTCATTTCTTCTCTTTCTATCTGCTTATTTGTTCATTGTTTTATTTGATATTTTTATTTTTGAATAGTTTTCAAAGAAGTTTTTTTATATTTCAGGCGTAAAATCTTTGTTTTAAGTTGTAATTATTTTATATCTTTATTTCCACATTCCTTAAAATTTATATTAAAATTAAATATTTTATCCCCCTCTTTAAAAATTTTTTTTGGAGGGGGGTTTGAAACAAGGTTTCTCTGTGTAGCTTTAGAGCCTGTTCTGGAACACATTCTGTAG